TAGCATAATTTCGTTGGGAGAATGATCTATATAAATATAGTTGTGATGGTGTAAAATAATGAATTACAACCTTGTCCAGTACAACATCGTGAATGGATCCCGCGTAAGGCTGTGTATGCTTCATTGTTCTCCCTTAGAAATGTTTAAATTGTTATTGTTAAATTGTTGTTTGGCCTTTCTAAGACGTCCAAATTCCTTACCATAGGGGGTTCAACATCGCCTTGTTCCATAATGTAGGTACATCTGACTGCTTCTTTCGGTACCCACTACCTTGAAACTTCAGCTGCCATTTGGGACCGCTCTACTCCAACTAAAGGTCTCTTCAGAGAATGCAAAATGTTTCTTGAATCATTTGATCTCCATTCCAATTTTACACTCTCTCCCTCTACTGGTCTAGCCAGTATCCTACCAGTAGCATCAGCACCACATTGTCGACAGTAGGCACTTATTCGGATGTATTCTTTACAAAATAGTCCATTTGGTGATACTCTACTTCTTCGTAAAGTATAAGGGCATGGTATTTTATGTCGGGTCCACAAATTGTGCATAATTTCTCGTTCCCATTTGCGAAAAGGAACCGTCAGAACAGTTTCTTCTTATGCTGATTCTATCTTTCTATAACGGTTGGTACCGGCCTTATATTTTGCCAACTTTGGGGACTAAGTATCAAAGTAAAAGTCTGCTTGTGGGTTGAATTTTGTGAAATGGATGGTGACTTATGTGAAGAAGGTGGTAGTATACGCCAATGGGTTACAGAAATACAAAAACAAATACGAGAAGAAAGCGGAAAATCATGGACGTCCAAATCCATATCTACTATTTTCCGAGACTTGCGGACCGACTTTATTAGCATATCGCATACCCCTATGGACTACTGTTCTTGTCAAATCTTTTAATTCTCCACATTTAACCGCATCAGCTGCAACAGTAGAAAGTGATTTCAATGGTAGTTGGGGAAATGTCGCTCTACTTCGGAAATTGCCCCAAGGATGTCCTAGTGTAACAATGGAAACAAGATGTACTAGACCCGAACGTAAAATACATGATACCAGAGAAGAAATGGTAGTTTTGGAAAGCAATATGAATATTCTCTTAAAAGAAGGTTTTGTTGCACTGCAAAAATCGATATTGTCATATTGTCATGCGAAAGACAATCAACTGTTTCATGTGAGCTAGGAAATCATCTTTTCATAGTTGTCGATCACCTAACGGTACCAGAGCTAGAGGCAGAAAGTGACATAGAATATACGCTTACCGATATTCCCGAGGAGATGTTAATTCTTGGGAAAAATTACATTCTTTCCGGAATCGTTGCCTACCTACCAAGTCATTACGTAGCATTCACAAGACGTACCAAAAAACGGACAATGGGAAGTCTTCAACGATTTGCCCAACGGAAGACCTATAGTTGGCGAGCAATTAGGCAAGTATCGGTAAGAAGAGCATCCATCCTAGCCTCATATTGCGTGTTTTGCTAGTTTACATTGTTTGACGTTGTGTAAACTCACTCATTATGTTTATTGTGGATTATTTGCTTCTATTAGGTAGCGAAGGCTCTACCCTGAGTTTCAATTTGTAATTATGATGCCCGTACATCCATCTATCAACCATCTAGAAATGGAGATATACTCAATTTTCCTTGGTGACAAAATAATAAGCGTTTGTACAAACCGTGTCGAAATCTATGTGTTGGTTAGGGACGAGAGGTTCTACATATTATGACATCCAGAAAAAGCTTAAGATAATTATACATTTTTATTGGATACTGTAGATCAACTCATTACTCACACACTCAACAATTAACTAAGTGTAAACAATATCTTGTAAATGAGTGCCATGTCTTACGTAGCAAGCTGTAATTGCAAATGACTTTTGACGGATATATCAACAACGCTTTAATAAATTGGTCGATTAATCAATTATTTAAGGGAAAACAAACGACGATTTTATGAAAACTTATAGAAACTAACACCATTCAATCGAAAATGGTGTTTAAACTAACAATTCAACTAATTGCCAGTGAAGTGTGAAGTATTCCCGGACAAATTAAAAATTTTTTTTTACAAGAAATAAGGAAAAACAAACGACGGTTTAATCAAAACTTACATAAACTAACGAATCTTTATCCAAAATTACCTCTGAACTAACAATTCCAGCACATGTCGCGGAAAATGTGAAGCACGCCCGGACAATTTTGATTTTGGGATAACATTAGTACCAAAGAGAAACTAACGTCATTCTTGCCAGAACTAATGAAAACCAACTAAAAACTAACAGGTACATTGTAAATTGACACAATTGGTTCAACTTCCAGGAGCAACTTCACGGACCTCCACAGGTGGACATTTCCAGGATATATTCGGCGGGATCGACAAAAAATTTACATGCAGCACGTTTGGCACTATTCGGAAACCTAGTCATCGAGAACAGATATTGATTCCAATTGTAATAAAGGTCCAACCCCTAAATTCGAGCGGGATCGTTTCTCTATGCCCGATTATCCTATGCGACGCGATTTCGAATGGTATCCTCTAACAGCATGCCGTAATTTATGCGACAAATCCCTCGAAACCTCCTCGGATTACGAGGTTGGTAAATTGCTGGCGCGTCCCTTACTCGCAACATCTCCAATTTAATAAAGTTTACGCCGATCGCGGCAAAAAAGCAAAACTCGCCACAGACGCGCGTAACTCGACCTCTCCAAAATGAGAACGATTTTTTTTACTAATGCCAAAAACATCGCGGGTATTAATCTTGTTAATTAATTATAAGGACCGTGAAGGGGTGAAAAACTAATTATTTTGAATATGCGCGTTTTTTTTCTGATTTACGCTTCTGTAGTTGAGGTTGCAAAGCACACGAGCACTCGGGGGGCGTAGGGTTCCATAATCGATACAACTACCCAGGTTTGTTAGTTACTCTTTGACATCGTCCACAACAAAGCGCTGAAATTGTATATTGAAAAAAACACAAAAAGAAGTTTGCTTACGCTGACGTCTCCGCTTAAAGACCGTGTCATAAATGTTGCATAGACTTCTTCCTTTTGTGCACGCAACCCAGTTCTATAGTCTTTCACTATGATACCTTGTGGTTACAATTTTTAAAACGTTGTAACGTCTTTAATCATTACAAGCACACAATTACGATGATTTTTTCTCTCTTAAAGAATTGTTCACAAATGAACAAAAAGAATTACAACGGAAAGGTATGTGACGGGCCGTGTACATTAGAATCTCGCCAACGATAATACTAAACTTCTTTCAATTTTCAAATGACGCATGTCTTTTCCTGGTGTACCCGTGTATTTAAAAAGTTACGAGCAAACCACAATTTTATTAACACAACTGTTTGTGGTTAATGAGTTTGATCAAATACACTGAGTTAGATTATCATAAGTAGGTTAGCACTTCAATGTCCCTTACCCTTGACCAAACACAGCAGGTGTTTCAGTCATTTTTAAACCAAAGCGACTCGTCTACGATCGCAATTCCGGCTATCTTTGTCTACATATGGAATCTTTCATTTCATATAGGAAGTAGGCCAATTTGGCCGAATCTGTGCCGAACTCGCTTTCGGCTAGCTCGGTAATCGTAGGTACACTATTTTGGGTTTAAAGAAGCCTTGGTGATTTGTTCATACAAAAATAGGCAAATATGTACTGATTCCGCCAAAATTTGGCTATTTTCCTAAGAAAAAAAGGTGTCTAGGGCATTTTTAAACCAAAGGGAAGTATTTATGATTGCAGAGCGAGCCGAAGGCGAGTTCGGCACAACACCGCCTAACTTTGCCTACAAAATGAAACCTTCATTTCATATAGAAGTGGACAAATTTGGCTATCTTTTTAAAAAGAAAGGTGTCTAAGGCATCTTGAAACCAAAGTGTTGCATTTACGATTGCCGAGCGTGTCTATTTCACCTAACTTGTCCTACAAAAGGAAAACTTTCACCCGCCTCCGCTCAATTCGACTTATAGCGTTCATTCACATAACGGCGTAGTAGATAAATGCCTCATTGCGCCACAACTGACTTCTTCGTAAACTTCACAATTAAACAAACCTGACTGTCTCTTCAAAAAGCCTGGATGAATACAAGACCGACTGTTTTGCAAACAAACGCGCTCAAATACGGCCATGTTTCAAAAGTCCACCACTAAAAAACTTTAATTAACGTCCGGTTTGCATATTTAAAACCTTTTACCGTTTCGTTTACCTTTCATCCTTCTTCCTTTACAAAAATAATGTGACGCCTTAGAATAATCTGCACCTGTGTCAAACTTCGGCGGTCTTTTCTTGAAACTAATTAGCTTACGCCGTGAGAAAACTTCTGATCTACGACCGGAGAACAACATGAGATAAACTCCGCAAATAATTACCAAATCATAATAACTAAAGCAATTATTTAAACAAAATCATCAAAACATTGTCCTCAAAATCAATTTACATTTACATTTACGCTTTAAAATAATTGAAATGCACATACGAAGCCAAAGCCGAATAAAGCGTTCACATGATGTAGTTTTCACAACAGTATCTACCGATATAGCAATAATACGTCTCTAAAGCATTAGTTTACATTGTCCCAGTGCACCACCTTTTGGAGGCTTTTTCAGTTTTACCTGTTTGATTAAACAATAATTCACTGTTAGTGACATGCGATAGATAATCTCGCGCTCAGCAAGAGACTACACAAAGCCCAGCTTGACAAATATCACTCCGCTCAAACAAAACCCAACCCCTTTCCTCGAGTCTCTTCCCTTCGCTTTAGTATAGACTGTATTATACTGCTTCATGTCCATCAAACAGTTGTGCATATTACGACAAATAAAACCACGTGAGCCTTACGGAAGTTCGTCTTCACAAACAAAACCTCAAGAAATTGCGCGCAAGTTTCATTAAAGTTAATGAAACTCGCATTTTCTTCCCTCCGGAGCCCTTTCCTCCGCGATTCAGATAGCTACGTCGAGGAAAAATGTTAGACAAACAACTTTCGCCATAATTATAATTAATGAAAGCCGTTCGCCCGTAATTTCGAAGTCCTAATGAACTCCGCCGGCGTTTGCTTACTCGAAAATGCCGTACCCGAATTGAAATCCTCAATTTCCGGGAAGCTTACACTTTTGGGCGTTCGCACGAAGGGATCTTTATCAATTTCATTTAGACTGAATGATCCCACGTTTTTTCGTTCGGGCTATTGGCGATATTGAAACTAAATCCGTCACGATTACCAATCCCGGACAGCCGCGCCAAAGTTTTGCAATTAAGTTCTTTTTCGGCCTTTTTTAAGTTTTGTACCGGATTTTTTTTACGGATTTCGACGGCATATGATGCTTTCTGTTGTTATAAACGTAGAGAAATAAGTAAATAATTTAAAATCTTGTGTGAATGGAAGTGTTGTCAATGGTTAGAGTCCTCATTTCAAGTCGGTCAGTTTTCTTGAAAGGGACGAGGAAAATTTTCCGATGGCAAGCATGCATTGTGGAGAATAACGGGGCGATGATTTTGACGGACTATTTCACGTAAGATACTGTAATAATAATAACAAAAATAAACACAAATTCATAACAAATAGGTACAGAGAAACATCCATACACTATTAACAAAATACCATATACATCACCCTCATTCCTCTACATTACGACTTTACCTTCCTCGCTCGCAAGGAGGTAGAGTGATATCTCAAGGGACAGGGGCCAATGACCAGGCCTATGTATGACTTTCATTTACTTCTGCTGAGAACTGAGTCTCCAGAAAACTGATTAGTTTCTTGGGTTGTCTTAATCCAGGGGCAGAATCCCATAGACGCTGCAACTCCTTTCTGAGCGGATTTCTTATCACTCCTGCCCAACCCAATTTGGGGATTTTTGGTACCGTACGTAACACGACTACGCCTCGTTATTTCTTCCAGTTTTGTGAGCAAGGTATGTCAAAAGAGGTTTACTTGTAGTGGTGTATAGTTAAAAGGAAAGGCGGGGATTTAGTCCCCACCTCCTCTCCATAAGGGTTCGACGGTTCATTAAGGCCAGGTGATCTTGTTGACCACCCCAAGTTGCGATTAACTTTTTCCTCTTCTATTTAAAACAATTTCCCGTTCTCACTTCCGTTCCTTTCTCTTTAACAAAATACTTTACATCTGCTTACATCGGCGCTAACGCGTGCTTATCTTGAAACTAATTAGCTAACGTAGCGATAAAGGCTCTTATCGCAAACGACCGGAGAACGACATGAGATAAACTAGAATTCGATTGATCGGAATTGCGCTTAATCCCAATTTATAACCACACTTAGCGTCAAAATAAAAATTGAAATACACATACAGGGTGACCCATCCTTAGTGCAGGTGCCGGTGCTCAACAATATGCCGACATGGCGTAGTCGGAGTGCCGATATGGAGAATGGCCGAACCCCAAACCAGCCACACTTTTTCCGATACATTATTAACTTTCCTAGTTTCGAATTAATGGAAAGCACCATTACTGTGAAAATGCGATTTTTGCCTTCATATTTTCCAAAAATGTTAAAAGTAAAAAGGAGATCGAAACTCAAATAGTGCATTCTACCCAAAAACATAAAGGAAAGGAAATCCTTCGGTCCGAAATGCTCGTCGTAGATAATCTCGCGCTCATTCCGTCTACATTAAAACCACCCCTCATTCAGATAATCCGAACGAGATTGCAACACAGAATGCTATCGGCTTGCACATTAAACCCCCCCCGCCTATTAATTTGAAAAATGGCACGGTTAAGCAGTTATCAGGCCGCCTCGTTTTTTTTTTTTTTGGAAACAGCCGTTTCCTATTTAACGTACGCGATCCGGATGGGACGAATCGATTTTCACGTTCTCTCAACTTCGCGCGGAAAAGCCTCGGGGCGATGAGTGGTGATTAAAATTCATGGCGAGATGAGACGCTGTGATTCCGCTTTCTAAAATTTATTCAAGGCGCGGATTACCGTCCTTATCGTCGGAACTTTTGTAAACTATCGGACAGTTTGCGTCGTCTGCTTGTTTACAATGTAACGTTTTCGGTCGGAACGGATTAGATTCTAACCCGTGCGAGAATATTCCGTCACGTTCCGGTAGGGGTGAATTTATGAATAGCAAATTGTTTTTTTTTGTTCCGTAAGGGGGTTTGTTTCAAATCCAATGTAAAGTCTACATTCAGATATCGCGAAACGCAATTGATTTACGGCAAACAGCTCTGCTTGACGTTTCGGCCGCAGGAGAGGGTGGAAATCTCTAGTTCCACTGACAGTCTCATTTTTTTCCTAAAAGATACGGAAGGATGAAGTGAATAGCAATGGCATTCAGAAATTAGTAACAAGAGACCTTGCCAGGGATCAAAAATCAAAATTGGGAATCAAGATCAAGGCAAATTTCCAAAATTGGAACATTTAATTTAATTACGATCTCAGAAAAAATACTCGAAATCACCACTTGGTTTTGTGATGGCCGTAAAAACAAACTGTCACTCTGGCACAGCTCGAACAAAATTCATCGCAGCGACCTCTAAGCAACGAGTTCTTTCGTGGTTTTACCCTTAAAATATGAAAATTGTGAACTTGAAACACGCAGTGAATATCCCAGTGGCCCAGGACCGCATACCTTAAAATGTTTCTTACAGATTAATTCCCCCTATCCCTTATTAAGTAATTTAGGCCTTTAAAAGCCAATGAGGACGACGGTACTCCCACAGCGCAAGCGAAACTAGGCTGTCCTTAAGCAGCCTACAGATGGGAATTGTGCTTAATTTGCAATGTTACAAGGTGCTCATGGCTACGTAATTTCCGCCAGCACTTCGGTTACAGGAGCCCCAATTGGGACAGTATTTACTCGGTTTTCTTCGACTTTACGTCGCCTCGATTTCCGGAAACCATTAGGAAAACAATACTCCATAGAAATCAAAAGACGCAGAAAAAATTATTGTTAATTCCACCGACAGTAGTGTTTTAGTTTTGGGGGCACCATTAGTAGCATTTTATTTCCAGAGTAACTATAACTGTGGTTTGTGGTTGGTGAGAAGTTTGGAAGGTACAAGGATGGGGTAAAATTGCTTTGGGGTAGTAATTGTGATACTCACCGCCGCTCCGAAGGAAGAGCAACGGTAGTGGTGTAGGTGATGGGTGCGACTGAGATGGCTTCTGTGCGTAATTGGGCACTGGAAGCGGAAGTGTAGGTGGTGGTGTAGTGTGTGATGGTGGAGTCATATTTTCCGGTCTAAGCGGCTAGTTGTTGTGCGACTCTCGTAACCTGGTTTGGTCATCTGCATGGCCTTGCTGGATGGTATGGAACAGGGATTCCTTAGATGGATACCAAATATAGTACCTTCTCTCGCCGATTACTTATGCAATCCGTTGCACGGGACGAGTCAAATTTATTCAATCCACGACGGCCTCTTAAAATCACAGCGCCAGTATTCGGCTCGAAGGACCGACGAAACTTCGTAAAGGTGTAATCCGAGAAGGCAATAAAGTTTATAACTGCAAAGTTTAAGATCAATAAAACGGAGCTCTAATATTTTAATGAGCAGGTAGAAGCTACTTTAATAAAAAGTAATGACCGGAGGAGAGCGCGTAATTTTCATTAAGTGGAGGTTGAGCCGTTTTTATTTATACTAATTCAGTTTCTCCCTTACAATCGTAAACGTAAACAGGTAGAGAAGGGAGAAGTCAAAGTTTCCGTAGAATTCGCATGGACCGCTGGAAGTGAAACACATGCCGTTCCGTTCGATATTGTCAAGGGCGCGCGTTTTATTTTGGACTGTTGCAACCTTCAAGGGACACGAGGGTTGGCACTAAAATAGCCACCGCCGCGCCGATAAAATCTAGGTACTTGCAATAATTACGACTCGATGTGCAAACGACGTGCTTTATAGATAAGGTGAATGAATTGCTGGCAATGGTAGAAAATTAGAATGTCTAAATATAGCAGTTATTGTGGTGGGTAAAGGGTAATTCCGACGTACTTCCCTATGAAAGGGTTGGAAAGGTATATCAGTGAATCGCAGAGCTCATTGAAATTAACAGAACAGTAAATAGACGTAGGTAGCGAGAAAGTGATAAAATCGCGAGGAAACGCGTTGCGATATTGTAACAGGCGTACGCTGCAACAAAAGGGAACTATGAAGTTTTCTGGGATAGGGGTGTGCAATAAAATTAAAATTAAACAAGTTGTAAATCAGCAAATGCACGATTAAAGCGCGTTTTTGGTAATACAGATCAGTATTTTATTAGCAAAGTTTAAAATTATCGATCTCACGGGTAATCTAACTCAAAATGGGCTAGAGCTTGCACATCTACACTATAACAGAAAGCTCTAAGTGATAATTTGAAGTCTCTAGCCATTGTAATTTCTGAGAGCTTAGCCGGACTGCCAGCCACCCAGCCAGACAGCCAGCCATAACAAAATATATAATAGCGAATTTAAAAAAAACACGTGTTAGTATCTCGTGTGGGAATACATAGTCATATCCATTGTTCACGTGATCTATACTAACAGATCTTGTGTTCGAAGTGAAAATAATATAATAATCTGCACAAAATAAAGCACATACAGCGACTACAAAACAATTCAATAAATTTATCTATAATCTATGCAAAAAACTACACAAAATAATTTACTCGAAACGGACGCAGTCCGTATGGAAATACAAATACAGAAATTCCGTTTACCTTATTTACACGGCGCCTACCCTCGGAGCAGTTCGACTGGAGCACAATCAAATTTTAAGGGTTGTGGGATGGAGCCAAAGTAGATGATTCTTACACATACCATACGTAGATGGCTACAACAAAATTGACACTAATTGATCCATAATCTATGCAAAAAAAAGCTACACAGAGTTTACACAAAGCACATAGAACAAAGGGATATGAGAATGGGGAGATGAAACAAAAAAGGAAGAAGGAATACAGGTCAGACGAGGGGAAGTGGATGGAAAGGAAATGAGAACGATAACGATATACAAACAAAGAAGGGATGAAGGGCAAAAGATAAAATAGGAAACATGGTAGATGAAAGGGAGGAGGAGGTGCTAATATGTGCGGTTGATTTTAATGCCAGAACAGGAATGAACATGGGTAGAAATGGGAAGAGGTACACAAGACAGAAAATCAAGGGATAAAGGGTGCAACAAAGAAGGGCAAATAAAGTGAAATTAACAGAAAGAAGAGATTGGAAAATTTTATACGGAATTAGGGGGGGCGGGCAATTCCCATACATTGGAGGAAGTAGGATGTCGGTAATTGATTAAACAATAGGAAATAGAAAGTATTGGAAGAAAGTGATGAATTTAAGGTATGAACAAGGATAGAATCGGATCACCAACCGAGTGAATTGAATCTAAAAGAAACGATAAGAAGATACAAAAATGAAATAACGCAAAGAGCAAGGGAGATACAGTTATGAACAGGAGACACGGTGGAGTTGTATAGAAGGGGACTAGCGGATCAAATAGGACAAGGTACAGAGGAGGGGTGGAATAGCATAAGAAGAGTATTAACAAAGTAATAACGTGGCAACAAGTCACAGAAGTGGAGAGAAGAGAAGAAAGGTAGGAGTGGTGCGATAGAGTGTACAGAAAGAAATAGATATATTAAAATGATGGAGAAGGAAGGAAGAGGGGACATAGAGGAGAAAGAGGTGAGAGGAAAGAAAAAATATTAAAGAAAAAGATGGAGAAACAGAAAAAATACGAAGATTCAATCAGGGAAATAAAAACGAAAACGGATGGAAAGCGATAAACAGAGGGAAGAAATAGAACAAGTGGGAAAGACATACAATTAGAGGAGTGGAAACAACGATTTGTCAAGTTACTAGGAAAGCAGGAGAAAGAAGAGGCTTTGGAAAAGGTAGGAAGAGCGGAGGTTGAAGGAGATGAGATAACAAGAGATAAAATTGACCAGCCATTAAAAAGGCTCAAAAAAGGGAAAGTGGCTTGGATTTTCTCCATGGATAGCGTTAAGGAAAGGATGAGAAATCTAGTAAACAAGATATGGAAAAAGGGGGTTTACGTGAAGATTGGAAGTCGATCTTCCAAAGAGGGAACAAATATTGTGTGGGAAACTATAGGGCAATTACTATAATGACAGCGTATAGAATCTAGGCAATTATACAGAACGAAAGGCTAGGAAGAGGAACTGAAAAGAAGAGAAAACATAAATGGGCTTCAGAAAAAGGAGGAGAACGATCGACTGCATATATGTATTACACCTAATGGGATACCCACTTAGTCCAACCGTATTTAATCTCTACTAGAAAGACATCAAGAAAGGAGAGACTGGGATAAGGTGGAGGGAAGAAGAAAGGTATGGCCCGTGGTATAGAAATAAGAGACCTAAATGTAAAAAAGTTGAAGATGAGATTTGGGGGGGGGGGGGGGAAGTGTGTGTTGGTCGTAGTCGCGACCAGTCGTCGTTTTGATTAGGTACTGGTTGGTTCAGGTGGCACTGTTTATAATTTAATCCTCCAAACTAATATTCACCATGTCAAAGTAAGGGAAGATTTATTCTCTACAACATGTCAAATTCAAAATACAACTTGTACTACTAAAAAACACGTACTAAATTTGGTGCCCTTAAAACCAGTTCATCAATATTCAAAAAAAAGCTATTTGACGTTAAATATTTCAGCTGACAAAATTAATAAAAAATGCAATTATTTAACAGTCAAGGCTAAAATGATGATCTGCAACATTCCAACCCCCGTAAATCAATCACTGGGTTGATTTACTAATGACATCCAGAACTGCAAGCTTAGATGCAGGTCTCTGAAGAAGTCGATCATTTGTTCGTATTTCTGCTCTCCGTACTTGACCGTCTTTACCAGGAAAAACTTTCTCTACTATTCCCGTATCCATTGTTTTCGATGAACATCGTCTTCACAAATGATTACTAGATCTCCTACTTTGATCGGCTCCTTCTATTCAAACCACTTTGTTCTCCTGGTTAGTATAGGTAAATATTCTCTTATCCACCTACGCCAAAAATGATTTTTTAAAGCATTTGCCACTCTCCATTGCTTTCGAAACGTCCATAATTTTTCGTCTGGCGTATAAGGTGATTGTATAACATTTGTATCTCCAATTAAGAAAGAATTTGGTGTTAATGGATGTTCTTCTAATGCTGACACAGGTACATGAGTCAATGGTCTAGAGTTCACCATGTTTGCTGCTTCAAGCAAGTAACTGCGTAATGTTTCAACCCTCGGAGCTACTTCCTTTAACGAATGTTTGAGAACTCTTTTAATAGATCGCACTAGTCGCTCCCAACATCCACCCGCTGATGGACTGGAAGGACAATTAAACAGCCATTCTATTCCTTTCATTGTGGATTCCGATATTATGGCATCTTTATTATTCAAATTTTCAACTGTCATCAACTCACCCTTCACTCCGAGGAAATTAGATCCGTTGTCTGATCGGATTCTAACTGGAACTCCTCTCAAATTCATAAAGTTTCGGAGGCATATGATACAAGAATCTGTCGATAAGTCTTGTGCAATTTCGAGATGTACTGCACGAATCGTCAAGCAAGTAAATAATGCCACCCACCTCTTTTCACGTCTTCTTCCAATTGTAACATGAACAGGTCCAAAATAATCTAGTCCGGTGTACGTAAACGGTCGAATGTTTGGAGTTAGGCGATCTAGTGGTAACTGTCCCATTTGTGGCACCTCTGGTTGAGCTGTTTCATTTTTACATTGCTGACATTGGCGTTTAGATGACCTTACTAAAACACGTAAATCGTTAATCCAAAATTTTCGCCGAATTTCACAAATGATCAATTCTTCGTTTTGGTGGTGACATAAACGATGATAATGACTGATGACAAGTTTTGTGACTGGATGTTGTTTTGGTAAAATTATAGGTCGCTTGGTCCTCATTGGTAGTGTAGGAGCGTTGTCAATTCGTCCATTTAATCTAATAATCCCATCTTCATCCAAGGCTGGTGTCAACTTATATATATCGCTTGATTTGCTGATAGGAACACAATTAGTCAGTGAATCGTATTCTTCGTGAAAAGTTTCCATCTGTACAGTTCTGAATATCAAAATTTCAGCCTGTCTTACTTCCTCAACTTTTAGTTCACCTGTATGCAAATTCATGTTGGAAGCTTTAGCTTTTAAATTCTTTACAAAACGTATCATCCAAGCAGCTGTACGTAAAACTTTGAAATAACTCGAGCTATTTGCAAAGTTAAATTGAATCATATTTTCACGAATCATCATAACTACATGTTTTGGTGGTTGTAGTTCTAGGTCTTCATCATTTACTACATGACAATCTGTTTGATGAGGCCATTTACTTTTGTCTTGCTTCAACCATTCTGGTCCGTTTATCCACCTTCGAATAGGTTTGAACTGAGGTGGATAAATGTCACGTGTCGCATCATCAGCAGCATTTTCATGTGTTGAAACCCAGTTCCATTGAGTGGGTTCTGTTGAATCCAAAATTTCACCCACTCTATTAGCAACGAATGTCTTGTATTTTCTTCTGTCATCCTTGATCCAATGAAGTACAGTTTTCGAATCGCTCCAAAATGTCGATTTTGAAATAACAAAATTGTGAGATCTCAAAACAGTTTTATACATTCTAACTCCAAGAATTGCTGCCTGCAATTCGAGCCTTGGGATGGAAAGGTATTTGACAAGTGCGCATTTAGTTTTCCCCATGACGAATGATACTGTAACTTCATCTTGCGAAGTAACTCGAAGGTAGCACACTGCTGAAAAAGCGACTTCACTCGCATCTACAAATATGTGAAGTTCAACAGCTTTTGGCATCGGCAGTCCCTTTGAGTAACAACGTGTAATACGAAATTGGCTAACCTTTGTTAATTCTCGACTCCATGCACACCATCGCTCGTAAAGATGTGTAGGAATTGGTTGATCCCATTCTACACCAGACCTCCATACAGGTTGCAAGAGTACCTTCATGTATACAAGAAAATCCGCTAAGAATACGAACGGATCATATACTGACATGACAATCGCTAAAAATTCTCTCTTTGTTGGAATTCTTTCACAAGTGATCACTGTCGATTCTAAACGATTAAACTTCAAGTCGAATTTGAACTCGTCAGTGGATGTGTCCCATACCATGCCCAGTATCTTATCACATGTAGGGGATTTGTCCAAGTTCATATCCACTTGATATAGTTGATCATCTTGTTCCTGATTCAAGATCGAAGTAACCTTTCTTGAATTTGATATAAAACCTCGTAATTCAAAACCACCAGCCATCTCAATATTTTTAACCATCATGGATACAGTTATTGCCTGTTCATCGGTGTGAAAGCTATTAACGTAATCGTCAACGTAATGTCGTTCAATAATTGCTTTGGCCGCTTCGTGATGACTTTCTAGATACTGTGTTGCATGAAAGTTTTTGACATATTGAGCTGTTGTCGGTGAAGATGTGGATCCAAATATCATAACTAACATCTTATATACCTCAATTTCGCCAGTTTTATCATTTCTCCATAAAAATCGTTGAGAGTTTTGGTCTTCTTCACGAATTATCACCTGGTGAAACATCTCCTTGATGTCAGCACATACCCCAACTTGACCTTCACGAAATTTAGATAAAACCGTGAGGAGTGGCTGATTTAGATCTGGACCTGTCAACAATGATGAATTAAGGGATGTTTCTCCAACTTTAGCCGCGGCATCAAATACAAGTCTGAATTTTCCAGGCTTATTTGGATTCAGTACACCGAAATGTGGTAAATACCAAGTCCGTGGAGTAATTTCAACAACCTCTTCAGATGACAATTTACGAGCATATCCTTTCTGCACGTCGCTGACAATAGTTTCCTTGTACTTCATACCGTAAACAGGTTCTTTTTTCATCTTGTTTTCAACATTTCTCAATCGACTGACTGCCATTGGGTAACTATCTGGTAAAACTATGTCATCGTTTTTCCATAATAGACCACTTTCGACCACGACCTTTGACCTTTTTTGTTGTTGATTCCAATAGTTGACGCGCTCGAACCGTTTCAGAAGACTCTCTTGGTGTTGTTGATAGTTCAACACCAAAGTTTTCAGTGGTAAAATACTCTTTCACAATAGCATGTATGTCGTCAAAATACCCTCTCACATGAAACATTCTTCCTGGACTTGATTGTATCTCATTGTCAACTGTTCTTCCATAAATTATCCAACCAAGAGGACTTTCTGCAACAATAGGTCCATTTGATGTTTGTTGAATCTTTCTGTTCGATAATCCCAAATGACAAAAGTCCAATCCTATTAATAGCTCTGGTCGGGCGTCAGTATAGCTGGCAATAGGAAGATTTTGTAAGTTGTCATATTTGGAATGAAGCTGATTCATGTCTACAGTTTGCATTGGAAGACAAAGATTGTTTACAGTACACACATTCCTCATCTCGAACACTTCGGCATTGTTATGGACTCCAGATATATTAAATTTAACGATTTCAGTTTCTTCAGAACTACAGTGGTCTCCGAACCATTGGAGATTCAACTTTCGCATAGGTCCCTTCAACTTCAAACGTACAGCTACGGTTCTCTTGATAAGGCTTACGCTTGATCCCTCATCAATCAATGCATACGTGGAAACAACTTCTCCTCTATTGTATAATTTTACTGGAACTACTTTAAACAACACCTTGGATTGATTTGCTTTCAACGCAGCATGACAGGATACTTCCATATTTAAAACCGTTGGCGTATATTTATTATCTTGACATTCACTGTGTAATTGAGGATGATGAACTCTGTTACATCCATTCTTATTGCAAGACTTTCTAATGCGGCACATTCTAGTAGAATGTCCAAATTTCAAACAAGAAAAACACAATTTCTTTTCTGTTACTAACTTCCATTTATCATCTGTAGATTTATTCAAAAAATCCGGGCAGTTAGCGATGAAATGGTTCTTTTCGCATAAGACACAGTTCATTTCTTTCTTACTTGTAACGTTGGAAGTGTGAAGCATTTGATATTTCTTGGGTGTCGTCTTTTTCTCTGTCGGAGAAATCAAAGAATTGCACACAGGAACTCTGGCTATGTTGTCGGCTTTAACTTCAATCCAGTTACTAAAATCTAATATAGACGGGACACCAGTCAGTGAGCTAATATGAGAGGCCCATGCAATTCTCATATTCATTGGGAGCTTTAGGATCAACTCATTAAGCAGTGTGGGATTGGCAAGCTGATGTTGACTAGAACAAGTCAACATAAAGTGACTAAAGTTTATCACTTTGTCAGCAAAAGGAATAATCTGTCCCACACTATTTTCACAGATTCCGGGAATGTTTTTCAACATAGTAATTTGTGCGTCCACTAAAAGTTCTGGTCGACCAAACCTGCTATACAATCTCTCCATGATCTTCTCCGCCATGTCGTCGTGAATTAATAACCACTGAACAAGCTCACGAGCTTTCCCTTGCAAACTACTGTTTAGTCTCGTTGTATTTTCTGAAGAAGTATATGCAAACTCTGTCGTAGTTCTTTTATACTCTGCATTGAAAACCAGCCAGTCGCAAGGATTTCCATCAAACTTTGGCAATGCTACTAAATACTTTCTGACAGGTAACGATGGATGCTGTTGCCAATATACAGGGTTATTTGGGTAAACAGAAAAACTAGGAATTGAACATGAAGGTGTTGACTGTTGGTGCGTCGAATTTCTTGTCGGAGTTATCGAAGGCGAAGGCGTATCAAGCTGTGCAGGTAATGTTACTGGGACTGAATTATTCAGTATAGCTGATGATCGAGTTGTAGGAGGGACTTCAATTTTCATCGTTCGCTGAACTTCAGCTAGTTGTCGATTTGTAGCTTCCAGCTTCTGATGAAGTTCATTATTCTTCTCTTCCATCCTTGTCTGTACCTCTGTATTTTGCATCAGCTGTGCTTGCATCAATGTAATCTGATTCGTAAGTCCTTCCAAAAGTGATGTAACCCTAGAATCTTCCATTTTGATTGTTACATCCAAGTCTTTGTCGTCGTTTGAATCGTCAGATAAACTTCCAGTAACAAATTCCTCGAGGTAAGGTGGTGGACGCCCATTATTCAACCGCTCACTCTTCTTTGGCATAAATGACTATTAGAATGTCAAATTTAAGAATAAAAATGTTGTTGGTCGTAGTCGCGACCAGTCGTCGTTTTGATTAGGTACTGGTTGGTTCAGGTGGCACTGTTTATAATTTAATCCTCCAAACTAATATTCACCATGTCAAAGTAGGGAAGATTTATTCTCTACAACATGTCAAATTCAGAATACAACTTGTACTACTAAAAAACACCTACTAAATTTGGTGCCCTTAAAACCAGTTCACCAATATTCAAAAAAAAAGCTCAATATTTGACGTTAAATATTTCAGCTGACAAAATTAATAAAAAATGCAATTATTTAACAGTCAAGGCTAAAATGATGATCTGCAACAGGAAGGAAAAGGGAGATAGAATGGAAATGGCGGTTTTTCTACACAACCCTCAATTTTTACATAAATAAAATAACGGTACTTCACATAACAAAATGTTCTTCGCCCTTCATACAAAAATAAGCTCCTTTACAATTACATTCGTAAAAATTAAAAAATTGTATTTTGGGACTTTTCGTATTGGGTGTGGTTCTTGGCAGCGTAAAATACTACACTGGCACGGTTAACTGATTTGTCCTCGATCGACTACGGTCGGAAATGCAGCTACCTGTCGACAACGTTTGCTAGCGTCCTTCTTTATATAACAATTCTTTTGGTAGTGTCGAACCTGGCTCATTTCAAGGTCGGTTGCCATCTGGTGGCGACTTTGGAAAGTAGGTCAAGGTGAAAGTCGCATGCCACGTGGCGGTGGTCTTGTAGAGTAGATCAAGGTGAAGCCTCAAGTTCCTCGGGCGTGGATGACAACTGTTTTGTCGTATCTTATTTCATTTTCAAGGTCAATATGGACCAATTTTTTCCGACGATTTTCAAGGTTATCAAAGTTTAATTACCAACAGCTTTTTGTTGTGTAATGTTTGGTAGTAAAATTTGGTAGCTTAGTGACATCATGACGTCACAAATATGGCCGCCACGTGAAAATCGTAGTTTACCGGTTTAAGGCAAGTTTTAAGACAAATTTTAATTTCAATCAAACATAAAGACAGGAACAATGATTTTGATGATACTTTGTGAAAGTTGGTAGCTAAGCGGTTTTCATGATACTGCTATATAATTGTCAATTTTTTGTAAATGGTGAAAAGTCTGCCCGGAATCCATATCTGAAACAAAAAGGCAAAAGTTGACTATAGGAAAATTGAAATAACAAGACCGATATCTGCTCGGATTTATGGTTCAATGGTAGAGCGTTGGACTATAAATCCGGAGGTCGGATGTTCGAACCTGGGTTGAGGTCCTGCCGGCTACTCCGAATTAGGTTTTCCTAATAATAATAATATAATAACATTGATTGATTATTAAGTAATCAAAAATGACAAGATTCGGCAAAGCCGGTTTTCAATCTTGCCTAAAAACTTGCCATATTTCCTGGACATACTTCCAACTATAACATCTTATAAACATTTATACACATGCAAAAAATTAAATATAGTAACAATAAAATATATCTATATAACATTCGTAAGGTAAATACCGGGGTAGTATAGAACAACTTAAGGGACCCTCTAAAATGCATTATGTGGGTCACTCTGTAATTGGGCGAAAGCCTGTTGAGGGCCCAGAACAAGAGAGGGACAATAAATAAATAAATAAATCAATCAATCAATCAATAAATGATCCTGTCACTAAGCTACTCAATTTTAAGAAACGCTAACAAAGAGTGGCAGACAATGAGGAGGGCGGAACGGAAGGCAATACGGATACTGCTTGAAAACAGCAACCTCACAAGGAAAGGGATAAGGGAATTACTAGGAGGAAAGGCGATCACTGGGCGACTGAAGATGAGGCAGTTGAGATACTGGAGGCATATAAACAGGAGGAACAATGATCATATACTGCAGATGGCCAAGAATCTACGTGCTTCGGAATGGAAAGTAGGCCGACTCTGCTTCACATGGAACATGGACCAAACGTTGGCGGCCTCGGGGAGTGGGGACTCCCATAGAAAGATGGGAAGAGTGGAGCAGAGACAAAAACCAAATGAAGAAAGTAAGCACACGAGTACTGGAGGTGGAGGAAGAATCAGATATAAGTACAAGCAGTCCAGAGAAGGAGACAGAAAGATAGGCACGGAGAGGACAACAATAAGAAAGGGAGAAACAAGAAGGGAGGAAATGAGACAAAAGGATGGAGGCAGCGGAAAATAGTAGAACGCCCGGGGGCAAGGCCATCGCCAGGAAATAGAGTTCCCTCTAATGCAGATATTCCAGTGGCGAAGCTATGGCCGTACCCTTTCGGCTCGGATAACACTCAGTTAGATAGTCGATGCTTTCGCAACGCATTTTTCTTTTGTTTACAAGAACTCAGTTCCTTCAACAAACCATTATATTCCTCTATGCTACAATTTTATTGTATTAATATTGATTCAATAACAGTAGAAGACATAGAAGCAGCTATCCGAAGAACAAACCTACATCAGAAACGGACCAAATACCCGCTTATTTAGTCAAGGAATGTTCCGATATATTTTCATGTCCTTTGATAATTACACTCAACTGTCACATGACTGACGCGGCCAAATCAAAACTGTCCATTTTGAAAAAACTGCCCAATCAGGATCTCATTTTCTGATAATTTCTCTAGGGATGGTTATCGCGATAATCGCCCTAGGGAAGATTATTGGTGACGTCCCGCATACGACCCGTCATAATGAAAACTCAAAAATAATCGTAGCTGGAGAAAGAAACAACATATGTAATAAGCAATTATTTCTTTTCTTGAAGAGTTGAAACTCTAAATTATACAAGCTTTTAAAAATCAAAA